ATAGAAGAGATAGAGAGGATAGTTTGGTCCATTAAAATTAGTTATGAGCTTAAATTTGTAATTTCATGATTTAAATGGAGTTGTTGACAAGTCAAAGAGTTAAAAGGTAATTTCATATGGTTTGAGAGATCTGGAGGGGTGTTACTGCACATTTTTGAAACCTCAAGGGGCGTCAATGTAAAAAAATCATTGACCTTCCACTAAGTGGCGTTGATCAAAACCTTAGGAGTGTCAGTGCAATTTACTCTTATTATTATGAGATAATATCACTTACCTCCCTTAAGGTTAGGCTTAATTACAGACAGTACTTCTGACGTTTCAAAATTTAGAGAAACGTCACTTAAATGTGATTGGAGTTAGATTCCGGTGGAATTCTTATTTAATGACTAAAATACCCTTATTTTATAAAATAAAAATAATAATAAAACGTGAAATGACAAAACTACCCTGCATGATCTCTTTTTTATGTCTATCAATCATTCACTCTCTACTTATAACATACACAAGCCAATGCATAGTCACAAAAGGCAAACTAGAATTATTCAACCATGTTATATGGAGGTACAGTGGGTGTCAATTGTTCTTGAAGACCCAGTTTTTAGCACGAAGACCTCCTACCTCAGGAAGAATAATGTAGTCCTCTTCCCCTCTAAACAACGAGGATTCGACACCGGCACCGGCGACCGACGAACCTAACCATGTAATCTTTGGTCCGAGAATCAAAACCGAACCCAAGAGCGAATATATATGGTCTATAAGTGTCGAAACACATGCGAGGCTTGGGAAGCTTCACACGCTTTTGAATCACGGCGTTCAAACCAAGCAAACAATGACCAAACGGCGGCGACCACATTGTTTTGTTCCAAGATAACTTAGTGAGTCATGCACACCTTCTCAGACGGCAACAATACTACCACCGACCACAATCTCGCCTCCAAAATCGAGGCAGTGTCTTGCTGAAAAATCATAGATTTCAGAAGGGGTGAGGTAGATTTCATCGACCATGCCACTCTTTCAAATCCCTCCTATCTTATCTTGATATCTCCAGCAAGACCCTCCATTCGTCACCGCCGTACACACACACACACATATATATATATTTGGGGAAGAAGAAACACTACCGCAATATAAACCAGTATTTTATTTTTTCCTTTTCTATTTCTATTAAGGGTATATAAGTAATTTTTGATTAAAAAAGGATATATATGTCTTTGTAATCTTTCTTAGGACAAATGTGGTATTTTACTTTTAAAATGCATGGCCGTCATCAAAAAATAGTCATTGACAGACGTTGACTTTCACCGGGAGCAGAAAAGTGTTATGACGGAACAAACCTTAAGAAAGGTTTCTGTAATTTTTGAAATGTTATGAATACTGATTATAATTAGGCCAAACTTTGAAGGAGGTTAGTGATATTTTTCCTTACTATTATTAAACAAACAACCATAGGATCCCAGATAGAACACATTTTATTCCATATACATTAGCAAGACGGTAATGCCTGAACTGCCACTGTCTTTTCATATTTTTCTATGGACAATACTTACCTACTCACCAATGAATAGGAAGTTCATACTTACCATCGATATAGCGCAACAACAAAGTAACAAGTATCCCTACAAGAAAAAAAGAAAAAAATAAAAAGAAAAAAAGAAAAAAAAAAGGAAAAAAGATTTAAGAAGTTATTTGGGTTAAATCCAGTAGGATCCAAATCAAACCCATATCTAATTTTTTTTTCCCATGCCACTTTATTGCCCTAATCTCTAAATCTTAAGGAATCACAACTACAAATATCTTGCTCAAATCAAATTCATGAAAGGAATTGGATTAGGATTTTGATTATGGGTGATAAGATTTTATGTGTGAACTAATATATATATATATATATATATATATATATATATATATATATTGATTTTGTTCTTTTGAAGCATGGCTTGTGTTGTTTAGCCCTTCGTTGCCTTCTTGTTGAAAAAAAAAAAAAAAAAAAAAAATTGTTTGTGTAAATGTAGATGCTTGCACTTGTTAATGGTGTCGTGTCCCACATGTGAAAGTAAATATAAATCTATGATTGTCTTATAATTAATCAACTAAAAAGAATTCTTAAGAAAACATATTTTATTTTTTTACCAAATCATGACTGAATACTTTCTTTTATTTATTTGAATAATGTTAATAAGCCTATTTTAACGTAAATACTTTAGCAGGGAGTGACTAGGTTTACCATCGAATAATGCTAATGCCAAATTTTTATTGCATTAATGTATACGTGAATCATATTTAATTAAGTTGTTGGGTGGATTTAATGTCCTTGACCATCGAGATCCTTTTCTAAAGAAAACAGAGTTTCTGATCTGATTTTCCTAAATTTATATTCTCCATGGTCAAAAGAATTATTTTGAAATTTTTGCCTTTATGAACATATATTTAAAAAGTAGAATTTTCTTCCATGGTAGGTTCTTGTCTTTATTATGTACTGTATAAAATTTATGTCCAATAGTCGTAGATTGTTAATGCAGATAATCAACTTCAGCCATCGAATTCTTTCAGGTGCTTGAAAACTATAATATTTGCCAACAACCAAAAAAAGCTGACGATAATAAGAGTTTTGTTGCTCAAAACTGCAATTTTCAAACATATCCCTGTCTTCGATGTTGATTAATCTATTCGTGTTGTAATGAGAGTGCTTATCTGAAAGAATAAGGTAATTATATATATATCATGTATTTTATTTTTATTTACAATGCTCCCTAACTATGGCCTTTCTTTTTTCTTTTTTCTTTTTTCTTTTTTTTCATTACTCAATGACCTAGTTCGTTCGAGGGCCCCTAGTTTGTCAAGAAAAAAATAAATTTGTTGAAAATTTAAAACTGCCCAACTCAATTTTTGAAAATACCTCATTATGTAATCTTGTCCCTCTTGATTTGTTAAAAAAATAAATATGTTAAAAATTTAAAACTGACCAACTCAATTTTTGAAAATACCTCATTATGTAATCTTGTCCCTCTTGATTTTTTTGGGTTCAAAAGAAAGTAAATTGTCTGTTTGGTTTGTAACTTTGAAAGCAATTTTCAAGCATTAAGAAAACAGAAAACTGTTTTTAAAGAATTATAAAAGATAATTATTTGAAAACAATATATATATATATATATATATATATATATATATATATATATATATATATAACTTAGTTTTCAGAATATTGAACCTAATAGAGCTTTTGTAATGTCTTTTGATTTTTAGTTCTCTAATATTTTCAGAGTTACAAACCAAACATGTCCAAAGTAATTTTTATTACTCTGCATCCATTGACCTCATCGTGTTTGAAGAATTAAAATGGATTAGTAATCTTGTACAAAGGAAATTTTCTATATATTTTCTATGTGTTTTTCACATATATTTATCATCTTTTTGGCAACCGTTTTCACTTTGACCCGAAGCAAAAGCAATGGTTTTGTTTTAGAGTGTGTTCAATACTATTCCGAAACTTATTTTGTAACATAAATTTGCTACAAGATTTTTTAAAGCAAAAATATAAAAACTTGTTTGATAAAACGTGTTACAAGTTTAAAAAATTGAATGGTTAGTTTAAAATGTTATTTTAGAATAAATTTTTTTTTTTATTTAAATAGTACTTTTGTTATAGTGTCGCAAACAAAAACATTATTTTCATACTTCTGATTTTGATCTCAATTTCAGAAGTATTTTGGTACTATTTAAATGACAATAAATTTTACCGAATAAGTTTTCTATTTTTGCTTGGTTGAGTAATTTATACAGGTAATTGGAACTGATCTCTCTATGTCTTTCTCTTTGATTGTCTTGAAGGGTTGACATTGGACTTGCGGATTTTTTGGCACAGCTTCAAGTAATGTCTTTCCTACTGGGTCCTGGCTGATATTATGTGGTGCCGCTTGACCATTCCATTGACTTGGGTTGATGTGCTTGTACAGGTGTCCCCTTTTTTTTTTCTTCATAAAAGCTATGTAATATTTATTTATGGATGATGCTAATATGAATGATGCTTAGTAATTCACCAGAATTTTATCTTATTCATCCTTTATGTGTTTCAATAATAATTTACTACATCAGATTTAATAACAAAATAATTCACGCCTTTTTATATTTTCTCAGATCAATCATTAAATAAATGTGAATTATTTTATTATTAAAATTAATATAATAAATTATTATTAGAACACACTAAAGGTGAATATGGTGAAACCACCCACCAATGAGTAGCTAAACACTAATAATAAGTAGGCATATCTATTCAGATTATTTTAATTAGTACCTTAACACTCTTTTGAAACTTTTGTTGTCTGTATACTATTATTATATTTGTTGTCTTATAGTCTCTTTTTTCTCTAGTTTTATTGGGATGCCCCACCCACACGCATGCACACACACATATATGTATGTATGTATTGAAATTTAAGCAAGAGGCATCTTACCAGCCATGTTAAAAGATTTTGGCCGAGGTACATCATCTAATCTAGAAGTAACAACAAATTTACGCAAATGTTAGATCACATAATTATCAAGTGGAAGTGTGGATCGAACAACATTTGCTCCACTCAATAATTATGTGGTGGAGAAAGATGGGTTGCTCCTTCTAGATCACCTTAGTTTAGTTGAATTCACTGAGTGACAATTTATTGAGTGACAATTGAAAAGTGACAGATTATTTATTCGTGTAAAGGGTAAAGATGATCTCCTGTGAAGCATAATTTTCACAAATAATGTAAATCCCACTCATATAAAATAATTGACAACCCTTGAACGTGTACGCGTACACATCCTATGGCACAGACGAGGACCGAAGCCCGCCAAAGCACAAGGCATGGGAGGGGATCTGGATTCATTTAGATGCTATAGCAATTTAAATAATATGTAACTCACACTACAACTGAGGTTTCACATGACGTTTAATTTTGTAATGAATTTCTGTTACTTTGGGGCAAAAAAAAAAAAAAAGTTACTTCACCACGCTTGAACACTTGCAATTAAAAGTCTAGCTACCATTCATATTAAATTATTTATATAAGATTTAATTTGTGAATTGGATATTGATTTCAGATGAAAAAAAGCAACCTAGGAAGGCATTATCACAAAGATCTCAACTCTCAATTGTTGAATTAGCTGCCATCTTGTACCAGCGGTAGGAGAGAGAGAGAGAGAGTCCAATTGCCTCTCTCAACCGAGAAATTATTGGATTGTTCTGAAACATCTGCCACTTTCTCAATGTCTATCTCAAGGCCACTGTTGGTGCATGGGGTAACAAGTTTCGCTACAGAGAGTGCAGCTTCACGCCTCATTCTTTTCAAGTACTTTTCGAATTTATCTACAGAGAGGATCAACTGCATCAACAACCATAGAAGCAAAGTTTGAAGCCCAGTTGTTGAAATTGAACTCTATATTTGACAAGATTTGCTCAATGTCTGATTTTTCAAACCCTCCTTCATAGTCTTCTGAATTTATGTACCTTCATGTAAAATGAATAAAATTAGTTAGGATCTTGTTTGGAGACACATTAATAAGATTTACCCAATAATTAAAAGGACTTAATTATAACCTGTAAGCAAAATTATCATATATATATATATGTACATAACTTCCGAAAAATAAAATATATATATATATATATATATATACAAGGAAGAAAAGAAAAAAAGATAGGGTTAAATTAAGCCAAAATATATAATAAACAAGTCATGGGTACAAGAATTGTGTGCGCTTTTTTATTTTATTTTTGGATCGCGATCTCTATAATTATGCGATTTCAGGTGCACAACATTTATTTGTCATGACTGCCTGAAAATGTGCTTAGAGATCCATGGGCCCCAAGATTCGCACCTTAGAATAATAATGATAACAAACCTGTTTATAACTTCCCCTTCAGTGCTCCACTAAAGAACTTTTGCAGATGTAATATCTTAATTTTAGGGATTGAATTACGCCAACGTAGGAGAGATTCTAGAAGTGAGATATTCTAGAAGAAATAGTGTAACCATATTTAGTTTGTCAATGAGAAAATAAACTGAATTTGAAAAATAATAAGACTTACTTTATAGCTATTTAATAGTTATGGATAAAAAATGCAAACTGAAATAATTAGTGTTTTCTCCCAATGTGAAGCCTGCTTAAGAAAACACTAGCTGAGGACCAGTCACCTAATCCCTTTGAAAATTCCACCAAAAAGGCTATAAAAATAATTCTAGGCTCCCTCCTGAATAAGCTGTGTTACCATCAACAAGATCACAGAAACTATTTCCAAAAAAATCATTTTCCATTGAAATGGAAGTTCACTTAACTCAATTGTGATCTCCTTTGTTTTGGTTGCTTTTCTATCATGCGCAGGGAGAGTTCTGAACTGGGTGTGGTTGAGGCCAAAAAAGCTAGAGAGACTGCTGAGACAGCAAGGTCTCAGGGGAAATCCATGCCGGCTTTTCTATGGAGACTCCAAAGAAATTTACACCATGGTGAAAGAAGCAAGAAGTACATCCATCAACTTGTCCGATGATATTCCGCCCCATGCTCTACCATTCTACCATCAATCAGTCAGGAAGTATGGTACGTATTGACATGATTCTGATCTTCATTACACTTGTTAATTTCAGTACTAAGCTTCATTTTTGGTAGCATTACTGCATGTTAGAGGATTTAAATATTAAAGTTACACCCTTTCTAATAGTTTAAGGGTTTAGAATATCTGGTGGTTAATATAGTATCAGAGCCAAAGGTCTCGAGTTCAAACTTCACCTTCACCATGATAATTAAAGTCGAAACACATGTCGGACCGAAGCCAACACGTGAAGGGACATTTAAGATGATTTAAATATTAAAGTTGCAGGTTACTAGCTTAAATGTTCTTCTAATAATCTCACACATAATTCCAAAATATTACAGGTAAAAGGTTTTTTTCATGGGTTGGCCCGATTCCTAGGGTTCACATAATGGACCCCAAATTAATTAAAGAGGTTTTGCTTAGGAACGATATTTTCCACAAGGTAAAGCACAATCCAATTTCCAAGTTACTAGTGACTGGCATTGCAGGCCATGAGGATGAGAAATGGGCCAAGCATAGAAAGATTCTCAACCCAGCTTTCTATCTAGAGAAGTTGAAGGTAACTATTAATTTCATTTTCTGTTCTTAACATCAACAGGACAATTTTTTTTTTTTGAACTAACCTCCAAATGATACTTTTAAAATTCTCTTAAAAAACAATAACAAGATACTAAGACACACAATGAGTGTGAAGCCTAATTTTGACATGTGGTATTATATTGAAAGTAGGTTCTCGTTTTCTTTCCCATGTTACTACTGTGTATTTTGTATTTTCAGGAATTACTACCTGCAATGTATTTGAGTTGTAGCGAGATGATGATTAAATGGGAGAAGCTGGTTTCAGAAAAGAGTTCATGTGAATTGGATGTTTGGCCCCATGTTCTAAATTTATCCTGTGATGTCTTTTCTCGAACAGCATTTGGTAGCAGCTATGAAGAAGGTGGAAGGATATTCAAACTCCAAAGAGAACAATGTGAACTTGCGCACGACGTTCTTCAGTCATTTTACATTCCAGGATGGAGGTAAATAAAAAATATCATGCGCACGGTTCGATTAATACTTTCAAACTGGAAGATTAAACTGGTATTGCTTTAAATTTAGTTATGAAAATTATAATTGAATATCATGCTGCTGTATGATGGGTATGATTTACAAATGGTACAATTAAGTGATGATTTGCAAACTACTTGTTTACTTCATTTTGGTGCAATTGACTTTAATTGCTCATCTATAGGTTTCTACCAACTAAGAGAATGAGGAAAATGAAGGAAATTTATGCGGAAGTGCAAGGTCTTGTGAGGGGTATAATCAATAAAAGGGAGAGATTAGGAGAAGTTAGTGACAGTGATTTATTGGGTGTGATGCTTAAATCCAATCAGAATGAAATTAAAGAACAAGGCAACAAGGATGCAGGAATGAGTATTGACGAGATCATCGATGAGTGCAAGCTATTCTATTTTGCTGGCCAAGAGAACACCGCAGATTTGCTAGTGTGGACAATGGTTATGTTGAGCATGCACCCAAACTGGCAAGTGCGCGCAAGAGAGGAGGTTCAGCATGTTTTCGGGAACAATGAACCAGACTATGATGGGTTAAATCGCCTTAAAATTGTAAGTGTTTTCTACAGATTCATTTATGGAGTTCAGATTGCCAAATTTAGTAGGGCATAAATTTTTTCCCCCATAAATATTGTACTACATTTACATGTTATCTTACCTATTTCTTACATTAAATACTTTATATATATGTATATAGACAAACATCATTTATACATGGCAAAACTCATATTACATATTCACACAATTGATAATTTCCAAGATTTATTGATTGCAGGTAACAATGATTTTGAATGAGGTTCTTAGATTATACACTCCTTCATCAATGGTTACCCGAGTTACTTGCAGAGAAATAAAATTAGGTGATATGACTCTACCTCCTGGAGTGCAGGTGTTGTGCCCCCTACTCCTACTTCATCACGATTGTGAAATTTGGGGTGAAGATGCAGAAGAGTTCAAACCAGAGAGATTTTCTGAGGGGGTTGCAAAGGCAACAAAGAACCAAGGCTCTTTCTTGGCATTTGGCTCGGGCCCCCGAATATGCATTGGGTATAACTTTGCAATGTTAGAGGCAAAGATGGCTATAGCTATGATTGTAAAGCACTTCTCATTGAGCTTTCTCCATCTTATGAACACGCTCCTTCCTATATTGCATCCCTAGACCCACAACATGGTGCTCACATGATTTTACATAAAATATAGAAACAAGAATTTAATATTTCTTGTTTGGAAGAGTGCTCTGCATTACACCCTTCAAATCTACAACTCTATTAGACTCGAAATGTTGTCTTTCCCTGCTTCTAGATTCAATAGTCATACTGTTAGATACCTTCAAAAATAACTCGAAATGTTCTCTTTCCCTGCTTCTGGATTCAACAGTCATACTGTTAGATACCTTCCATTTTTGGAATGTTTGATTCCTTCAGATGGTTTGTTGTTCTAGTTTGCTTGTACTATTGGGGAATGCCCCTCTTAATCCTGTACTGTGGTTTCTCTTCGAATAAATAGCTTATTTATCAAAATAAATAATATTCATCCCAATTGTCACACACACAATCACACTGTGATTCCCTATTTTAAGCACATCTGATGGCCAAATAGTGGAATGAGAGTGTATATATGCTTTCCTAAGCAATTAAGCTTGACAATGTTTGGGTAACATCAACAATTCCTTAATGTAAAATTCTTTAAGGTCAAAGAAACATTGAAATCAATGCAACAGTAAGTCTAATAACCTAAATGTTTCAGTTAATATTATAAGATGGGCATGAGAGTAGTGAATTGGGTGTGGTTGACACCAAAGAAGCTTAGAGAAGTTACCTGAGAGAGCCAAGTTAATACATGAATGGGATAATGGATATCCCTGCTTCATTCATGCCTTCGACCTCCAGATGAAGAAATTTGATGCTTACGACAACTGTGGCACAGCAAAGAAGAAGCATCAGCGAAACCTAAACGGACTGTTATGCCCTAACTGCAATTGCAATTTAAAATTGGCAGTTGAATTGGGGATGGGCCTTGGGTTTAATTCCTCCTAGGCTGGGCCAATTGTTGCTTGTTCCTTAGTCTTGTTAGTTGGGCTATTAGAATACAACTATAGTTGCTTCTTATCTTTTGAGTTGGGTCCTGTATTCACCCATTTACATACTATACATATTACCTATATATACAAATTACCTCAATTTTTGGAAAAAAATTAAATTAATTAAGTTGACTCTATATTTCTTTATTAATTAATGTGATACTATTGTACCACTATCTTAAATGGGCAAAGTGCATTAAACCTCCCTGAACTATTGGGGTATATGCAAGAAACCCTCCCGAACTATAAAAGTTGTAAAAAACCCCCCTGAACTATTAGGGTATGTGCAAGAAATCCCCCCTGAATTATAAAAGTTGCAAAAAACCCCCCTGAACTATTGAGGTATGTGCAAGAAACCCTCCTGAACTATATATTTTTTTGCAATTTACCCCATCCGCGCGAATTGATTGACTGAAAGGGACGATGAAGCCGAGGAATTTGTAGCTTGGATCAGAGTGGTAGATGTCGTCTAAGGAGTGTTTGGATAAGCCAAGGAATCTGTTGCTGGGATCGGTGGGTCTCCTGTTATAACTCCATCATAGCCATTGCACCATCCGCTAGATCCGTCGGCCATATATATCGCACTTCTCTGCACCATTGTGTTAGCCCATCGCTGTCACCACCTTGCCCGCCGTTCAGCTCACCTTGCTCGCTGGTCCATTCCACCGTCCATTCCAAGCTCGCCGGCCCATTCCGCCATCTCCATAGCAGAGCACACCGCCGTCTGTGTTTCGAGCACATAGTCGTCCACAGTTCATCGCCTAGCCCCCTTGAGCTCGCCGCCTCCTCCACAGTTCACAGCCGAGTCAACCGAGCTCTCATCACAGCCGAGTCCTCTGCGCACAAGTCGCCATCATCCGAGACCGAGCCATCCCGCCGACCTCGGATTTCTTTGGTCTCTTCTCTTTCTCTCTCTAGTTCTCTGTTTTGGGTTGTGTTGGGTGAAAAACATCTTTTGGTAGAAAAAAAAAATGTAAGAAGTGTATAAGTTAAAACAACGCAGTGTGTTATAAGGGTAAACTGGTCTTTCAAAATTTTCGGTGCCGGAAGCTGATGTCATGGGGGTAAATTGCAACAAAATCATAGTTCAGGGGGGTAAATTGTAACAAAATCATAGTTCAGGGGGGTTTCTTGCAAATGACCAATAGTTTAAGGGGGTAAATTGCAACAAAATCATAGTTCAGGGGGGTTTTTTGTAGTTTAGGGGGGTTTCTTGCAAATGACCAATAGTTCACAGGGGTTTAATGCACTTTACCCATCTTAAATCAACAAGAAAGAAGAAAGTTGTGAGAAAAACTACTTCAATTAGCATTACTTTTTGTTTTGTCTTATTAGATCATGTTGTGACATGGAAAATTTTAAATTATTTTTTGTACCATATTTAGAACTCTCTTATAATCTAACATGGGTATTTCAGAATTTTGAGTGAGTGAAAATCACAGGAAAGAAAGTGAAAGCAACAGTTAGAATTTGGGGACTAAAATTAGTAATCTCATATGTTTTGTCCTAATATTCATTGTGAAATAGTCCTGTAATGAACTATGTAAATCTTTATATAACAATTTTTATTTTTAGTTTATTGTGTTTGCCCGTCTGTGGAGGGAAAAATCTCGCCTCCAATAAGAACCAGCCACGTCATTAAAGTAAGTCAGAATCCCAATTGATCTCCAAAAGCCCATTAAAACCCAATCTTGGTCAAGCCTAAATAAAGTTGCTACTGACCTAAGGTTATTAACATTAACCTCTTCACCTGCCATAAATTCGTCTGGCCCATTCACATCTTAATCCAATTCCAGTTCAAATTAATCAAAGTCCTGTTCACTTAAGGATTCTTCATATAAGGAAGTTTTGCATGGGAAAAGTCTTGTATGGAAGGAATTACAGAAGGAAAGAACTTTGTATGTAAAGAATTGTATATGGAATGAATTGGATGACAAGTAGGTCGAATCCTACCATAATTCCACCATTTATTATTATTATTATTATTATTTTTATATAAATAGAGGCATAGACCTCCAATAAAATTCATCAAGCATTACAAGCTTCTCTCTGAATTATTCTTGTTATTAGTTGTTCTTTATTTGAGTGAGTTGTATTTATTATTTTAACTTTTTAGTTAAACGAATTATTTGCATCTACACTTTGGCGCCATCTGTGGGAATTGTATAAAAATATGCCCCCACGAGTGAATTGAAATCTTTTATGCTACTATGATCCGGGATGTCAATCGGAGGAGCCGCAGTCACAACCGATCAACAGATGGAATTAATGAAAAAGATGCGAGAAGAGTTCTTGCAGCAGTTTGAGACCCCCCGTCAAGCAAACGAGGCTAGTACGGCTCAGATTGCATTGCTTCAGCAAAAGAACGATGCTCTCCAGACAACCATAACGCAAATAGCACCACAACCACCACCAGGCAATGTAGTGGGAGCTCCCCCCAACCACAATATTCCTCCAATTAATGAAGATCATGCCAACGAGAGTCGGCAGGAGTAGAGGATGAGAACCGAGGCAGTAGCTTTAGACAACCACCCTCATAGCGCACAAGATGAACAGGCCGAATCTAGCCACAAGCTCACAATATGGACAAATGGCATTCAAGATAGTGTCTAGGAGGTCTTTGATGAAAAGAAGCTTCTGAGGATTCAGACACCTGTCGAGATGGCCAAGGAGCATAAGGTCTCTCTAGTGAAAACTCCATTCACTGATCAGATATACTACGTCGACAGACCTAAAAAATTCACCATGCCGGCCTTCACTCAGTTCGATGGCACAGGAGACCCTTCCCTTCACCCCGATCACTCCTCTCAGAAGATGGCTCTGGATAACCATAACGACGCATTCATGTGCAAAGTTTTCCCAACTAGTTTGACGGGAGCTGTACTGGAATCATTCAAGAATATGCCACATAAGTCCATACCGAACTGCGAAACTCTGTATGCCATGTTTCTAGCACAATACTGTGGTAATAAGAAGCAAAAAAAGATTATCGTTAGTCTTTTCACTATAAGATAGAAGCGAGGAGGAACGTTACAGGATTTCCTGTCCAGATACAACATGGAGGCTTCAGAGATAGCAGATTGTCACCCTGATACTGTTGTAGAAGCATTCAAGATCGGCATGATCTAAGGGACTAAGTGTGATACCCCTGGATTTCCGAATGCGGGTTGGCCAGGCCCACGCCCGAATACCCGAGGATATAAAAAACAAATGGCAATAATCGAACATAAAATACAAAATCGATAATAAGAATAATTAAATGACTGAAAGAAACTAAAAGGATAATCCATTAATAAACCTCAAAATAAATTTCATTACTAAATTCTTTTGATACAAGTAATCATCCAACTTATATAACTCGGGAATCCATACTATGTGGGCCCCTAGAAAACCAAATAACCAAATGACAGCTGAAACTATCAACATTAGAAAACTGAAACATAAAGAAACTCCTAAGTAACATAATCCGGAAGAGTGAAGTAGATAATCCCTGCTCAGTACGAACAATCCCTACTCCTGTCAAATACCTAAAAAAAATGGTGATGGGTCAGGCCCACAAATAAGTTCTATTCTAACTATAGTCCAAGCAGAGACCCGATACGCAGATACATCCTAAATAACTGACAATAACTATATAGTCCGTATATATATATATATATATATATATATATATATATATATATAGTACAGGATATATAGTTCGTTATAGGACTTCCGCGTTGCGTCTCTTAAAATTTAAAGCCATATTAGGATTCATTGTACTCTATCTACGGTTCGTTAGGATGAGTGGTTGTCAAGTATATTCTCTAATTATAGAATTGACGGTGGCCGTTCCTATACGCCAAAATAATGTAGTGAATGTGCGGTTCAAGAAAAACCTTTTTGGTCAAATTTAAATTTATAAAAACCACTACCATCACTATTACTAACGTAGCAAGAGTGAGTAGGGATCGTCCCAAGGGATTATACGTGTTGGAATTTAACTTCGACTCTAATGTATCACAAGATTGCAAAGAAGGGTTGGTTAGTTGATTACTCTAGAAAATAATTAAATTAAAATGCAATTAAAGTAAACTAAGTTGAGATAGAGATTTAAGAGATATGAAAAGAGGTCTTAGGGTGTTGGAATCATCGCTAAGCTCGTGTAATTAACCACTTGCTTTCCATTAATGGGGAATACATTGTTGTGAACAAAATGCGACTAGCAATTGCAATATTAAGCATGAACCATCAAATTCATGTATGAATTGTCTACCTAACCGACAAATAAACTAAGTGTAGAACAACCCATCAAATCTAAGTATGACCCATCAAACTAGTCACAATTGTAGCACACATCAATCTAGAGAATCATGAAATTTGCAATAATAAGCCATGAAATATCAAATCAAGTATAGATTGTCTACCTACCTATAAACATGAATTAAATTGTAGAACAACCTATCAAGGATAAGAATAATCTATCAAATTAATTAACAAACCCATTCAATAAAAACCCATGCTTAGCCATCACTAAATCCTTAATTAATCACACATAGACATGCATCCAACATACATAATCTAGTGTGGAGATTCATTCCCCAAACAATCACACATAAGACAACATGTAATCAAATAGAGAATCAATAGAAAGAATTACTCCAAATGAATCATGTAAGAAATAATCCCTAATTTAATCACACATAGACATGTAAATAAACTAGAGAATTAATAGGAAGAATTAAACCATAAAAATCATAGAAATATACAAAGATTCATTAAATTCATAAGGCTAAAACACTAATCACAACAATATATATAAATCCCCAAAAATGAAAATACAAGGGTTTAGATTACACAAGACTTAGGGCTTATCCAAGTCCTAAGTGTAGATCTAGCCAATCATAGAGGAGGTGGATTTGGTCATAAAACCCTCAAGGGCAAGCTCCAAACATGGCTCCATTTTCTTTTTCCTCTTCTTCTTTGAAGCTCTA